TGTAGTTTCATTAAGATTTTTTTATGTTGGAGATGGGGAACATGTGCAATGCCTTTGCCGGAACTCGAACCCTGAACCTCTCAAATACGCGTCAAGTATGCTTCCAATTACACCCGGAAGGCATGCGGAAAGGAGGAAGAAAATACCTTATAATTCGATATGAAAATACTAGCTGGAGACTGTTCATAGATTCGTCCAAAAGAAGCTTAAGACCTGTCCTTCTTTACAATGGTAAATACGTATGCTTCAGTACCGGACATTCTGTCCATTTAAAAGAGCATTACGGAGATTTGCATATCATTCTCGATAAAATTAAATACAACGACAATAAGTGATCTCAAAATAATATCGATGCTCCTAGGACTGCAAGAAGGGTAAGAAATGTTTCCTTGATTTTTGTGGGAACAGAAAAGCAGAGACAGAGAAAATGATTAGCTGAAAAAAGATTGGCCAAAAAGGGTTTCGTTAGAACCTTGAACCAAAATTGTTCTCCAAAAAGCTCTCATTTCATCTCTGGTCATAAAATTCCCCTTCAACCTCTGTATATCAAGTTAGGCTTGAGGGAGTAATTTTTCAAGGTCTGAACAAAGAGAAGGTCGACGTTTTAAGTACATTTGAGAGAAATTTCAGCCTTATCAAACGAAAAACTGAAAGCTGATGTCTTTACTGTTCCTGATAATAGAACACTTCTTAAATAAGGTAAATTTGAGAATTAAGTGGAAAAAGAAGCCTAGGTAGCCTTTAAAGACTTAGTAACCAAGTTTCTGTGCAATAAAAAAGATCCGAACTTTTTTATCGTTGGGAGCAAACCGCAGAGGTACAAAAATTTAGTTGTTACATGAGCTTAAAAGTTTCGTTTCCTAAATTCACATTGGTACTATTTTCCTGAAAATCAAAGGTGCCCTTATCGAAGAGATGCGTTTCATCAAGAAATCAAAGAAATGGAAAGCAGGTATCAAAGAAAATGGACTACTTCGATGATGGCTAATCATTGCTGCATGTTAGATTGAGATGAACGACATCAATAATTTAAAAGGAAAAGTGCAGAGCAGAGCACAAGCGGTGCAGGGAAACCTCTATACATGAAATGAAATTGTGTATTTTACGTATATTATCTTAGTAAAAGCTAAAAAAAGAACAAATTCCGAGAAAAAATGTTTTAAGTCTATTTTAAAGTCACATATTTTCATAATTTTTCGACTTTTCACAAATTTTGAAAGACGCGTTTTCCGAAGATTTCTGACGTGATAATTATTTATTATTAATTGAATTATCGAATAGAAATTACAAATTTCGTTAATTAATTATATATTAATTTATGTTAACTAATTATATATTATTAATTTTCATTAATTAATAATTATAAACTTTGCCTGATTGTGTTATTCAGTAAGTAAATATGTGCATATGATATAAGAGGGCATATTTTACAAAAATAAGCAAGAAAAATTGAGATTATAGAGTTCTAAGTAATATTCATGCTAAATAAATTTCTCGAATTCCTCTGTAGAAACGCTATAAAACAGGAGTCCTAGGATGTAATCCCAAATTTCAAGGCTGAAAGGCCTGCTTTTATTATTATTAGCCCAAAAAGGTCGTTAGTCCCAAATGGGATATTAGACTCAACATGGCATTTTTTGTCGAAACATTTAAATGCGTTTTATCTCTTTTCAAATTCTTGCCGCCAAATATAATCTATGTGCATCACATTTAAAGGAATTAAGTAATGAAGAATCTGTGTGTTTCTTGCATTGGGGAAAAACAAAGGCACCTAAAGCCATTAAATTTTGAGTAACATAGTTGTACAGTCAAACATGGGCACCTGGAAGCTCAAATTTTGAATTCCGAATTTTTTTTATTATCATATTTTGTAGAACGTAACGAATTTTTGATTAACAAACTCAGTGATTTCAAAGCGAGGAGGGCTAATAGTGTACGGAATACAGCATTGTTAGCTCCAGCGCACGAGACTGTCTGTCGGAAGTTGTAAAGATATGCTGCTTTAAATAGTTTCTGATTTTGCTGTTGAATCGAATTTTATGCGGCGTAAACGCAGAGAACGTGATATTTAATAAATGAGGTGAATACACTAAGCGTTTATAATAAAAAGACAACAAAAGTCTTGTAAAACCATCTTAATAGGAAAACTGAAGATTGATACTATGACCTGAGAAAAGACTGAAAGGAACAGAATAATGTATTTCAGCGTTTAGCGCTGCATCGGGAATTCTAAACGTATGCTGCTACGTTGATTTTAAAATCTTTGTAATTTTTCTGTTGGACTGTATATGGAGTAAGTGCGAAGAAAATAATTCTTTATAATAAGGCTAAAAGAAAAGGGTTAGTAGGATTGTGTAACAACAAACTGGTAAATCTCGAGCTCAGCGAGACTGTATAAAACCCTAACAAACCCTATTGGGCGAACGTTAAAATGTGAAACCTTTCAAATTTTATTATTATTATTATTATTATTGCTTTTATTATTAATTTAAAACAACAAATGTTCAGAAAATATTTTTAAGAAACTAATTAGACTAAATTTTTATGAATGTCCCACCGTACCGTCTTGCAGGATTTCCGGACACTAAAAATACTGCAGAATGTTTTAAAATATTTTCACATACATTAGAAGTATAAATTTCCTTATCCACCATGTACCAAAATATTACCTGAGACACAGCTAAACTAAATTTTATCTCTTTTGATATAATTATCACTCTCCCTCCGTTTTGTTACATTTCCATTCCTTTTTACTAGTTTCAGTCTTTTTTGTAATTTACCCAAAACACTTTGTGAATTTTTTGTAGTTAGAATATATTTTATAAGAAAATGTGCCTCGTGCATTTATTTGTGATATTTATCCGGAGAAAATATGGGTCCATCTAACATTCTGAAAGACATAAGAGAAAATAATTTATGAATGTTATCGAACGTTACATTATTTTCCTCACTGAAACTGTAAGCAAAAATTCTTCCAAAACAGTCTAAATTGTGATTAGTTTATTAAATGTACCTGATATCAAAGTATTTTATATCTTAATAGTCTCTATATCTTATAATAAGTAATATTGCATATGAAAATCCTTTGAAATTTACTACAAAGTGCAATAAGGTTCAAAATATTTCATAAAATTATTTTCCATAAAGCAATCTTCTTACAAAATAAGTAAAATAGATACATGTATTAATGATATTAATAAAATCAGCATAGCTTGCATTGGGATTCCAACTGACGCCGACTTTATAATGCGAAACTTTTATTGCTAGGCCACTAGAGGAAAATTAATCACAAAGATGTTACAGTTGATAGATTAAAGCCTGCATATTTCTTACAAACACCAGACGTTTCTACGAAGCAACCAACAGCGTCAATAAGACAACCTGTCAAACCTCCAACAGACTTACCTTTTTAAAATTAACAAGTTTCCTGCAAAACAGTCGCGTGTAGGACGAACAATAAAACCCCTTGTGCGATTTCGGGATTAGCATTTATATGTATCAAAAACTTTTTTTTTTTTTTTTTTTTTGTAAATAGTGTGTTTTAAGGGTAATATTATGCTCTACCGTAACTTAGTTACTGGGAAGGAAGTACTGTTGTGGCTTGAACTTATACAGAAACTCTATATACTTATTAATATTGTTTTATTTGTTTTTTTGTTGTTTTAAGAATGGCAACAAAAAGATCATTCAAATTTGTTGTTCGTGGAATGGCAACAAGAGACTACTAATGATATTGTTCTAAAGAGTTGTTTCCATTAGCTAAAAACGAAATAAAGATTATTTTTGATTTAAAACGTCGATTGACGTTATTTGATGAAACGGGAGTTGTAAAAATAAAGATTAATTTGAAGTCAGAGCCGATAACTACGAATGCGCTGTTTGAAATTTTAACTTCTGTTTTCTTGTTTATGTTTTAGAAGAGCAAAAATGTTAACGCTCTCAAAAACAAAACTGTCATACTCACAACAAACAAAACATGACATCCATTTGCATATCATTCACTCTAGGAGGATGATCTCAGCAAGCAATTGGATGTTTGCCACAGAAGTGTATTTCCCATGTTTTTTCTTTCATTGACAATTGTTTGCTTTCCTTTCATTGACGGTCTTTAACAGTGCCGTTCAATTTTATGGAGCACAAAAATGATTCTGTTAGAAAAAATTTGCATATTATGTTAGTATTCCCTAACGAATGTACAAAATATCCACATAATTGGCACGAAATATTAATGTTTGTAATATTACGTTCCTAGTCTGACCCATTTTTATAAACGCTTTCTGAATCTGAAAGAAAAACTTCATTTAACTTACAAATTGCAAATTAGTTATAGTCTACGTTAAATTAACTCAGCGAAAGTTTATGATTGACACAAAGTTAAAAATAATCCGAAAGGTTTCAGATTATAACGGTCGCACGAAAGGCTTTGTCACTGCTTTTTATGCTCTCGCTGAGCTCGCAGCCAACCAGTCTGCTCTTACACTCACTTCTGGTAACCCAATTTGTATTTAACATTATTAATAATCATAAGCTTCTTCGCACTTGCGTTATGTACAATTCAAGAACAGAATCACATAATTTCTAACAGCAGCACATGTTTACACAATGTTAAGGGTTTGCATAGATTATCTATTTTTTCAATCCTTTCTCATTTCATCCTGTCAACGTTCAGTTTTATGTCATCAATTAGTTTATCAATGCTCAAGTTTGGTAAGATGGCTTACAAGACTTGTTTGTTTTCTTTTGGTATTTTTTACTATTAACTTTTTGTGCATTAATTTTATTTATTAAATGTCAAGTTACGCCACATAAAAAGCTCATTCGTGAATACATATGCTTAGTTACACAAAAGTCTCATTCCGTCATCCGGTACACATGGAATTAAAACAAGAAATGAAACAAAAGATTAAAATTTTGAGAACGCTTTTAAAAAACGCTTCTGAAAGCATTGTAATTTAGAGAAATGTTATGTTCACATATATAAAACACAAGAAGTTTGATACCTGTAGTACCAAAATTGATTGAGGCATTTAATTTCAAAATTTGCCATTTCTGATGTCATCTTCAGTTTGAATTTAGGTCCAATTCTGTTAATAAATAAATTAGGATAATTTGAGATTGATTTTTTACCCTTAAATGCAATTTCAATAATATTTTTTTATGATTTACTAGTATCTTTACTTTTAATTTTGTCACATTTGGTATTCCGAAAGAATTTTCGTACAAGTAATTTATAAGTTTCCAAAAGTTACATCATTAATATTATATTGAAATTTTATGACTTAATCATAATCTTTTTTAATCATAATCTGGTAATCGTAAAAATGTTTTCAAAAAACAGATAATTTTCATTTTTAATGAATGCAAATAATATTACGAGTTGGTTACATGCCAATACTGAAGATTGAAAATGTATTATAGAATTATGTAAGATTCTGTGACTAAGATTTCCATTTTCAAAACAAACATTAGATTAATCAATATTTTTCACTATAATCTGAATAGAAATAGTACTCTTCACGTAATATCTTAGCAGAGAAAACTTTAATTAAACGTAATAAAAATAATATTTTTAATTACGTAAAAATGCAAACGTTTCACTCTTCAATTAGTGTACGGCCCCTGAATAGAATTCCCGATTTTTATATCAAATATCTCATTCAGTTTTTATCGTAAGGAAGTCAAAGCTTTCGTGTTTTATTTTTTTATAACGAGGACAACATTATCCTAAATATAAGTATAGGAACCTGAGAAACACGTAAAAAGTTAGATTTCTCAGTTTCGATAAAATAAATTTTTTAAAATTTAAAAATATGAATCTTTGCGTCATATAAAACATTTTTTAGCTGAAAGTACATGTTTACGACTAACGACTGCGAAAGCCGAGGAAAAACTTGTGAGCACGGTGTATATCATCATTGAAGCCATGTTTATTTATTTACTTATTTATTTTTGCGTGTTCCGCCTTAAGGCACTAGACGGAAGGAAGGGATGCCTGCGTGGAGGACTTTCTAAGGGAAACTGGCTCGTAGTAACACGTTACCATGTGGAAAACACCCAAGCAGCCAGCCCGTTTGCAGGATTCGAATCTCGGACCAGTGTTCTCGAACTACCAGTGTTCAGGAACTTTACCGCTCCGCCGCTGGTGGGCGTAGAAGCCGTATGCAAATGCAGTCTCAAATATTGCCACAGAAATTAAGGCCTTTACATCGACAATTTGTTCGTTTCTGCAAAAACCACATTCTGAATAGCGGTAAGCTGCTATTAAAAATTTCTGTTAAAATTCTATTATTTACGTAGTAAGAAGCGCATGTCTCTTGCTTGGGATTGCATTTTTCTTTGCTCGATAGTTACCGATAATACCAAAATGTAGTTATAATTTTTAGAAGTTTTTATATTTTTTATTATTAAGGCTTTTAAATAAGCTCTGATAATAAAAGAGTTTATTTAAAGAAGCTTGGTTCAATCATACTAATTCTAAAGTACTTTAACGAAAGGTCATATTTTAAAACATCATTTCACAGATTTTAATGTAACTGATATTAAAGAATATATTTTTTAACAGTTCTATTTTTCTAGAGAAATTTTAAGAACTAGAATTTCACAAAGATAGTTGTTTGAAGAAAGAGAAACAGAGGAATGTAGGTGTGTTATCGCAATCTAGGGTGGAGACATAAGATATAAAATACTTTCAAATCTTATTGATAATAAAATTAGCTTTAAAAATATTATCTATCTGGCAGTTTAAGTTGGCCAAACAATAGCTGCGAGAACGACCGTTTAAGAGGGACATTTCATGAGGGACTTTCTAAGGTAAACTGGCTTGTATTCATGTAAGTTAAACATAAGGATAAACTTGAACTCAAGGAGCTGAACCTGACAGAAGCTGCTTGCGTTCAGCTATTTCAGCTATTCATTCACAGGAGAGCTTTAGAATATCACGTTATTCGTCTGTTTGAATATGACAAAGCACAAAAAGGGCATCTGCGTAAAAGAAGGGATGCTTTTATGGAGAACTTTTCAAAGGAAAATTTGTTCGTATTTATATTACGTATGGGTAACATCACGAAAAGCGAGCCCGTTCGTCGGGATTCGAACCCGTGTCGAACTGCTAGCAGTCTTCAATAATGTTATTCATTTACTACCGGCGGGCGGATCTTACCATACCCACATGCAAGGATAGTTTATTAACTTGACTAAAATATGAAAAATTATATAAAGATGTAAATTCATCGAATATACAGAATTCAGAACAAACAATCGGGAGAATATTCGGATAATTTTAATAAAAATGTATTTCAGAATTAACGACGCATTTGCTTTGCGTCAGTTTTAGAGCTACACGATGGAATTTGTGGCGTCAAGCATTGCAAATAATTTTTGCTGCTGCAGGAAGGAAACCAAGCTTACAAATCAAGAGGTGATGTTTGTCCTTTATTTTACCCCAAAGTCCGTTAGCCCAGAAGTGCTATTAATTTTGTTTTGGCATTTTGCGTTGATTCACTATAAATGGCGAATCACTTTTTAAATTGTTGCTACCAAATATTAGAGCCCTGTATTATATTTAAAGAAATTAAATAATGAAGCATCTGCATAAATGTATATACGTTTCTCGCATTGTGATAAAACAACGGTACCTAAAGCCATCAAATTTTGAATAACGTAATCTTCCACCGAATATAGGCATCTGGAAGCCCAAATCTAGAATTTGGATTTTTTTTTATTATCTATTTTATTTTGAAGCATTATGAGTTTTGATTAAGAACTCAACGATTTCAAAGCGAGCAATGGCAAACTGTCGAGGGAAACAAATTATCTCCAGCGCGAGCTGGTATGGAAATTTAAAGAGCTCATTTAAAATATTTTCAATATGGCGTTAATTTAAATAGTTTTAAGTGCGAAGAACATGATATTGAATAAATAAAGTACGCAACAAATCGTTAAAAAACGCGTTTGGACGTAATAAAATCAAAGCTTTCAGATTTTTTTTCCCCCTTTTGTTTTTTTTTTTTTTTTTTTTTTTTTTTTTTTTTTTTTTTACATTTAATATTTAATATTATTAATTTTTTTTAAAAAAGTTATTTATATGATTGCTATGATTATTATTATTAAAACCACCAATGTATGGTTACTTAGTATTTTAAAATTGTTCCGATTAATTATTTTTCGATTTTAACATTTTATAAATTTCATTATTAACTTTACTACAATAAGCCTGTTTTCTTTAAAATAATTCCTTCATGCACAGTGAAAACACACAGTGGAAAACAAATGCTATTGAATTTGGATAACTTAAGAAAGCAGTTTTTACTTTAATACTTAAATATCTGGAAGCATAAATTTCATAAAAATGTTGGCAGAAATATAAAGGTATCACAATTCCGGGCACTGTAATAGCTCTCAGATCTTTTAAAATAATGCCCCAAAATAGTTATCCAGTTATATAATAATTTGAAAATTGTATGCATTATGTTCATAAGAATATATTTAACAGATACTATTTGCAGAGATGAAAGAAACTACAGCAAATGTAATATAACTTTAAAAAAATCTGAAATGATTCAAATTTATATTTTAGAGCCGTAATAGAGGGGTCTATCATGCATTATTTTTATATAAATCCTGTGAAAAGTTCTTAACATTATAACCCTTATCCATAAGCGCTATAAATAAATTATAAGTACAAATCCTTGTCGTTTAAAAAGGAATCATTCGAGAACATGATATTTTTGAGTGTTAAGTGTACATGCGTTACAGGCATTATCAATTATAAATTATAATTTAATATGCGTTATAAACAAAACTGATATAATTTAAATACTTACATAAATTTACAACATTAACAGTTCTGTTAGCAGTTCTATAGCAAACGTCTGACCAACTTCTGTGTGAGTACATATGCGTTCGACTTTTGATTTTAAAAGTTATATGTTGCAAAAGTGCGAATCGAAAGTCCCAGGTCACTGGTGAGAAAAAGTTATAGTAGGCCAAAAAGTATCAGACATGGGTATTTTCATTAAAAATACAAATTAAGAAATTAAATAAATTTTGCAAAGATTATTTGTCATTTTGCTGTTATATAAGCAAAAAATAAAATAAAATTATGAAACATAAGTTTGAAATTTAGTACAATATCTATCTCTGTCAATTGTACTACCATGTATAATTTTCAGAGTTATATATTTTGGCTAAATCATCAAAAGTATGATTTTCCCATTTTTTTATTTTAAAACTATACATATTTTACGCATTATTTTTCTAGATACGAAGATATATGATTAACTACTATAAAAGTTTCGAAATTATTATTTAAAACTGCTGCTTTTATTAAACACAAAAGTATCCAGGTGTACTATACCTTGGATGCATGCACTTGTATGCATCCAAAAAGATAACTACACCTTAGATGCATACACGATATGCATACACCTGTAACATACACTTATCTGGCATACAGGGGCGGTTCAGATGAAGAAATACGTATTTGCCAAAATTTTCATAGTACATTTCCTGAAGGATTAATGCAATACGTATGGGATACATATTATTCTCTTGATGAATAAATGCGTTATGAAAAGTAGGGGAAATCCGACTGCTCAACTGCTATTTCTTTAATATCTTATCGCTTCAATTAATTTGCCATTTAGCATGTTAGTGATATTTTAAAGTTGAACGACCTGTATTTTATGCATGTGTGTAATTCCCATTTTGTTACAAAACTGATAAAATTTCATAATCTAATACATTCTTTATAGAGTTTACTGTAGTTGGTAAAACACAAGAAACCAGTATTTCTAGTGACTTTCAGTATTTCACAAGCTCTTTTATCATTTCAGAGATTCTCGTGGTTTTTAACTTTTAACTAATATACAAGAGCTTTTACGAAAAAGATTACAGAAAAGATTAAAGATGTAGATATCAACTGTGAATGACTAAAATATATTCTTTTGCATGAACGAAATGATTACTAGGTGATTAAGATTAGAAAATTTAATACACACTAGAAAGTTAAACATGTTTAAAAATTCTGCACAGAATAGAGTTAAGCAGCTTTTTGAATTACCGTATTTACTGGCGTATAAGACGCACCTT